GCACATACTAATCAGGGGGAATGTACCTTGCCCACTCCCCTCCCCATATCCCAGTTTGTGCCACCCATAAGTGAGAAACCTACATGCCAAGTATAGACCAAATATTGTGTTCCCTACAGGTTACAGAAAAGAGCAGAAGCGCTGAACTACCCGTTCAGAACTACTTACGTTCAGGTTATGGAAAATGTGCTCTTTTAGTATTTCTCCAGTAGTTTTCCTTAAGGAGAAAGCCTCCACTTCTATGTCAAAGATAATAAAACAAAAACACTATAGTAAATACTACAGTAAGGTCCGCAAAAACACTACAGTAAATACCACAGTATACTACAGTCCTCAAAAACACGGCGGCAGGTAGCTTAGTGGTTAAGAGCGTTGTGCCAGTAACCGAAAGGTCGCTGGTTCTAATCCCCGAGCCGACTAGGTGAAAAATCTGTCGATGTGCCCTTGAGCAAGGCACTTAACCCTAATTGCTCCTGTAAGGCGCTCTGGATAAGAGCGTCTGCTAAAAAAATAAAGTAATTACTATAGTATATACTACAGTATTTATACTATAGTTAACTGTAAATACTACAGTATACTACAGAAAATACTGTACTAAAGTATTCACTGTAGTGTTTTTGCAGACTTTAGTCCACAAAAACACCACAATGAATACTAAAGTATTTATACCATAGTATACTACAGTATTTGTATGTGGGTGAATCCATTGTCTGTCTGTATGTTATGTTGAATATCTCTGTGGCCTCATCTTTACAGCTGAGATATCTGCTATTTGTCAAAAGAAGGTAAGGCCTGAACGTTGGTGCATTCATATGTGTCTGTGTTTGCTCGTTTTTGTATTTGTTTGTGCTCTCATCAGTTCATGCAGAATTCATAGTAGTATATTTCATGGCTAAAAATACATGGCTAAAAATGAGTACCCCTTTCTTCTACATATTAGACCAACAAGTGAAGTAGAGTGGTGGAGTGGAATTGTTTGCTAGTTTGTTTGCTTTTTTGGATGGCTTTGCTTACCTAATCATGGACAGTGGCTGTGCCGCCCTTGCTATGTTGTTGCTGGTTAATGTGTTGGTTAATATATACAGTATCAGTCGAAAGTTTGGACACACCTACTCATTCAAGGGTTTTTCTTTATGTTTACTATTTTCTACATTATAGAATAATAGTGAAGACATCAAAACTATGAAATAACACATATGGAATCATGTAGTAACCAAAAAAGTATTAAACAAATCAAAATATATTTTATAATTTAGATTCTTCAAAGTAGCCAACCTTTGCCTTGATGACAGCTTTGCACACTCTTGGCATTCTCTCAACCAGCTTCATGAGGAATGCTTTTCCAACAGTCTTGAAGGAGTTCCCTCATATGCTGAGCACTTGTTGGCTGCTTTTCCTTCACTCTGCGCTCCAACTCATCCCAAACCATCTCAATTGGGTTGAGGTCGGGTGATTGTGGAGGCCAGGTCATCTGATACAGCAATCTATCACTCTCCTTCTTGGTCAAATAGTCCTTTCACAGCCTGGAGGTGTGTTTTGGGTCATTGTCCTGTTGAAAAACAAATGATAGTCCCACTAAGCGCAAACCAGATGGGATGGCGTATCGCTGCAGAATGCTGTGGTAGCCATGCTGGTTAAGTGTGCCTTGAATTTCTAAATAAATCTCAGACAGGGTCACCAGCAAAGCACCCCCACACCATCACACCTCCTCCTCCATGCTTCATGATGGGAACCACACATGCGGCGATCATCCGTTCACCTACTCTGCATCTCACAAAGACACAGCGGTTGGAACCAAAAATCTCAAATTTTGACTCATCAGACCATAGCACAGATTTCTACTGGTCTGATGTCCATTGCTTGTGTTTCTTGGCCCAAGCAAGTCTCTTCTTCTGATTGGTGTCCTTTAGTTGCGGTTTCTTTGCAGGCCAGATTCACGCAGTCTCCTCTGAACAGTTGATGTTGAGATGTGTCTGTGACTTGAACTCTGTGAAGCATTTATTTGGGCTGCAATTTCTGAGGCTTGTAATTCTAATGAACTTAACCTCTGCAGCAGAGGTAACTCTGGGTCTTCCTTTCTTGTGGCGATCCTCATGAGAGACAGTTTCATCATAGCACTTGATGGTTTTTGCGACTGCACTTGAAGAAACTTTCAAAGTTCTTGAAATGTTCCGTATTGACTGACCTTCATGTCTTAAAGTAATGCTGGACTGTCATTTCTCTTTGCTTATTTGAGCTGTTCTGGCCATAATATGGACTTGGTCTTTTACCAAATAGGAATATCTTCTGTATACCCCCCCCTACCTTGTCACAACCCAACTGATTGGCTCAAACGCATTAAGAAGGAAAGAAATTCCACAAATTAACTTTTAACAAGGCACACCTGTTAATTGAAATGCATTCCAGGTGACTACCTCATGAAGCTGGTTGAGAGAATGCCAAGAGTGTGCAAAGCTGTCATCAAGGCTATCACGTTTCAGGAGAAGACCCAGATGCAGACAAGTGTCGAAGTAACAAAAGTTTATTACAAAAACAGGGGGCAGGCAAACAACAGGTCAACGGCAGGCAGAGGTCAGTAATCCAGATCAGAGTCCAAAAGGTACAGAACGGCAGGCAGTCTCAGGGTCAGGGCAGGCAGAGGTCAATAATCCAGGGTGGTGTGACAAGGTACAGAACGGCAGGCAGGCTCAGGGTCAGGGCAGGCAGAATGGTCAAAACCAGGAAAACTAGAAAACAGGAACTTGAGAAAGACAGGTGCAAGGGGAAAACCGCTGGTAGGCTTGACGAAACAAAACGAACTGGCAACAGACAAACAGAGAACACAGGTATAAATACACTGGGGATAATGGGGAAGATGGGCGACACCTGGAGGGGGGTGGAGACAATCACAGACAGGTGAAACAGATCAGGGTGTGACAAAGGCAAAGTGTGGCTATTTGAAGAATCTCAAATATAAAATATATTTTGATTTGTTTAACACTTTTGTAGTTACTACATGATTCCATATGTGTTATTTCATAGTTTTGATGTCTTCACTATTATTCTACAATGTAAAAAATATTAAAAATAAAGAAAAACCCTTGAATGAGTAGGTGTGTCCAAAATGTTGACTGGTAGTGTATATATATATATCATGCCTTCATGCCAACATCCACCCAGTGTTTACCAATGACTAGTAAAAGTGCTTTATTTGATTTGAGGAGAGGAGAGAGGTAACCACTTGTGTCTTTTCAAGTGCTGTAGAAAGAAACACTATGCTAGCCTGCTACAGGCTACAGGGGCCTAAAGTGGAACACTACCTTCATTACTTGTCGGATGGTGATGGCCCAGTCTTAATGGAACTGGCAGGGCATGATGTTTGTTCCGGAGCACAGTCCCAAGGACATAAAAGTGCCCCCTTGGTTCCCACAGAGACTGACACACAAATCACATTTCTCAGGTAGTGGATCAAGCTGAGCAGCCACCCAGGTTTGTCATAGGAAACAACTGTCCTCCATCCCAGTTCATCCAGCAGCAATTTTAATCCTCACACAGCCTTTTAAATAGGCTTTGTCCCACTGCAGAAAGCTCTTTAAACTCTTACCTGGACCCATGCCAGCTCTCTCATTACTAGCACATTGTTGTTCTATCTGAGAGGTGATTGCTAGTTACAGCTAGACTAGGGTTTCCTTCACAGTGCTCTGCAGTTACAGTATAAAACACTCATATACTGTGTAGAGTATAGTCCATTAACCAGGTTTTCAGCATAATGTGCAAGAAGTTACGGATTGCATGCAGCTGTGGTTTTTTGTTGAAAGACAGAATTGTCCGTTTTATGTTTTTGTAAAGAACAGAGAAAGAGGGGGAAGGGAGGAAGAGAGGAAGGAATCAGAGAAGGGGAAGATCTGTTAATTTGATAGGTGGTAATGCATCTCTGTAAAGCTTTCAGTGGCTGATCAGATTAAACCAATCCCCAATTGCCACAATTTTTTTGGAGAAATGAGACACCATAGGGACATGTACATTATCTATCTAAGAATGTTGCTATCTGTCCCGTGGCAGCGTATACATTAGTATACACACACAAATATACTCAAAAGTGAAAGAACACCTCATTCATTTAATTTGGCAGGTCTAAACATCAATGTATTTATTGAGTCATGTGAGTATTTTAGCTCATTTCTACTACATATTCATCATCTCCAGCACCACCCCAACATCAACATATGTGAAAATTGCACATTTCTATGTTTTGTAGTAAAAAAGATAGAGGAACTGAGTATACAAAACGTTAAGAACACCTGCTCTTTCCATGACATAGACTAACCAGGTGAATCCAGGTGGAAGCTATGATCCCTTATTGATGTTTCTTGTTAAATCCACTTAAATCAGTGTAAAGGAAGGGAAGGAGGCAGGTTAAAGAAGGCTTTTTAAGCCTTGAGACAATTGAGACATGGATTGTGTATGTGTGCCATTCAGATGGTGAATGGGCAAGACAAAAGATTTAAGTGCCGTTGAACGGGGTATGGTAGTAGGTGCCAGGCGCACCAGTTTGTGTTAAGAACTGCAACGCTGCTGGGTTGTTCACACTCAACAGTTTCCCGTGTGTATCAAGAATGGTCCACCACTCAAAGGACATCCAGCCAACTTGACACAACTGTGGGAAGCATTGGAGTCAACATGGGCCAACATCCCTATGGAACGTTTCGATGTGCATCGTCTGATTTTAACCAATTATGAGTAGGCATTGCCAACTAATTGTCTACTAATTGGTTGATGATGTCATTGGAAACACTTATCTTCCTCTATCTTTTTACTACAAAACATAGAAACACCATTTTCAAATATGTTGATGTTGTGGTGGTGCTGGAGATTAAGTTGAAAATGTTTGAAATTTCCCCTTAAATGGTGCAAACAGTTGAGATTTCTGTAGCCTAAATAATTAAGATTCTTATATTTCCTAAGTTGATAAATGATACGAGGAGTTGTTGTCCTCTCATTGCCCCCGCTCTGTCTTGTAGAACTGTAGCTCTCATGTCAGGAGGGCGGTTGTCACCTGCTTCTCAGCTGGCTGCTGTGGGCGCCATGGCAACCGGCCCGTCCGCTACTGCAAGCGTTGCCATGTCAACCACCACAGCAGCGAGGTGGGGGCTGCGGCGGAGACCCATCTCTACCAAACCTCTCCCCCTCCCATCAACACCCGCGAGTGTGGGGCAGAGGAGTTGGTGTGCACTGTGGAGGCTGTTATCAGGTAAACACCACAGCATCACAGACAACACAGGCAACCAACCGTATGCTTCACAGTAGCACTGTATTCAACCACAGTCATCTTTCTCTCTATCACTATCCATCTCTCTATCTCCCTCTGTCTTTCTGTCTGTCTCATTCTTGATTCCCCCTCTCTCTCCAACCATCTGTCAACGTCAGCCTACTGAAGGAGGCAGAGATCCACGCGGAGCTACGTGAGTTTGAGCTGAACAGGCGTCGTCAAATGGGCCTGTCTGCCTCCCACCACTCCCTGGACAACATCGACTTCGACAACAAGGAGGACGACCAGCATGACCAGAGGCTCCTCAGTCAGTTTGGCATCTGGTTCCTGGTGCGTGGCTCGCTGGTCTATCACTCACTATCGCAGTAGTGAGATTAGGATGTTGACACACCTGTCTGGGCTCTTATTACCAGCCCTTCATAGTGCAACATTATATGACAAAAAAAATGTATGCACTCACTAACTGTAAGTCGCTCTGGATAAGAGCGTCTGCTAAATGACTAAAATGTAAAACATGTAAACGTAATGCTTTAACCGTATCTCTCTCCAATCTTGGAAGCCCCTGACTGACCATGATACCCCGCATCCTTGCCCCCACCTCTGTAGGTGAGCCTGTGCACCCCCAGTGAGAACACGCCCACAGAGAGTCTGGCGCGGCTGGTGAGCATGGTGTTCCAGTGGTTCCACTCCACAGCCTACATGATGGACGACGAGGTGGGCTCCCTGGTGGAGAAGCTCAAACCCCAGTTCGTCACCAAGTGGCTGAAGACCGTGTGTGACGTGCGCTTCGACGTCATGGTGATGTGCCTGCTGCCCAAGCCGGTGGAGTTTGCCAGGGTGAGGAGGAGTGGGGGAGGGGTGGAGAGGGGGAGGTGGAGAGGTGTTGGAGGGTTAAGGTGGTTGAGCTTCAGGGAGTGTTCATGAGGGGTTGTAGGGTATAATGGTGGGTGTAGGGTAGTATGAGTTTAGGACTGTTTTTCTAGGGACAATGCACACTGTAGGGACAACGAGTGATGGTTGTGTTTCTTGGTGAATATCCCCCATGGTTATAACTGACCTTGTGTATGTGTCTATGTACTCATATCCCCAGGTGGGGGGTTACTGGGATAGGTCTTGCAGCACAGTGACCCAGCTGAAGGAGGGGCTGAACCGGATCCTGTGCCTGATACCCTACAACGTAATCAGCCAGCCGCTGTGGGAGTGCTTCATGCCAGAGTGGCTGGAGGCCATCCGGACTGAGGTGCCTGACCAGCAGCTCAAGGAGTTCAGAGAGGTGCTCAGGTACTGTATACTGGACTTCCTCCAAGTCGCCCAGTTCACTGTACCACCTCCTCTACGTCAATGGGTTCCTATGGTTACTGTTGATGCAGAAATTATTTTCTCTTATGAGAAAAATAGAATGTTATGTGAAATGTAATGTGACTATGTGAAACACACAGTCATAGGTAGACAGACTTGTTTAGTTACCATTGTTACACCTGAGAGAGATGCTATACTAAGCCTCAGCTCTAAAAGCATGTTCCCACCTCTCCCCTCTGTTCTCCCTGCAGCGTTTGACATTGAGCTGTGCCCTCTGCCCTTCTCCATGGAGGAGATGTTTGGGTTCATTAGCTGCAGGTTCTCAGGCTATCCAGCCTCTGTGCAGGAGCAGGCTCTGCTCTGGCTGCATGTGAGTATAAGGCCTGTGGCTTTTTATGAGTGTCCATTTCATATCGAGTGGTTGATTTCATGTGTGAAATGAACAAGTTGTCATGATGTGTGAGTGCCTGGGCAGGGGCTCTACTGAATATCGAACTGGGTCACACGGCTAACATGAGACCGGAGTTCTGAGAGGGAGAGAGGAGGGATTTTGCTTTTGATTCCATATGCACTCACAGCCTGCTGTCCTATTTGTACATGGATGGGTTTTCAAGTTTTCTGTCACGACTGTGATTACAGAAACCAAAGTAATTCAATCTGACGATATAGGTCACATTCAAAGCAGCACTACAGGAGTATGTGTACTACATTCTAGTGTCTTCTCTTTTGCCTCTCTTAATGTCTCTGTTGTTTGTTTGTGTGTTTCATATGTGCGTGTATAAACCTATTTTTGTCATGAATGTGTCTTGTGGGTGCGTATGAGTTTGGTGTGTATCTTTGTGTGTTCTCTTGTGTGTTTGTGTATCTGTTGGTGTGTGTGTGTTTGTGTATGTGTGTCTGGATGGACTCAGGTGTTGTCAGAGTTGGACATTGTGGTGCCTCTGCAGCTGTTGGTTGGGATGTTCTCTGATGGGGTGAACTCTGTGAAGGAACTGGCCAATCAGAGAAAGGCTCACATCTCAGCTCTAACTGGGGAAAATACTGAGCCTCGGAGGGTGAGATATCATACTATGTCATCAACTCTCATGCAAAACAACCTCAATGCCACAGAAATAAGCTCTTATTGCTCATATATTTCCTCTCTCTCAATTAAACAGTAACAGCAGAACAAATGAGCTCAGGACAGATACAGTTTACATCCACAATAGGAAAATGCTTGTTATCTAGCTACCCTCTATTGTCAACCATCCACAGGCCTGTGCGTTGCCATGGTAACTGCTGAAGTCTAAATATAGTCCTGTTTAAGGGGCTTAATTGAGTTTTGCCATCGTTCAGATTAATAATTGAAAGTTAAAGCCTTCAGCTCATCTATCCACAGAATATTTCTAGTATATTTCTACACCTGAATACACCTTGATAACTTGGAGGGTAGTTCTCAGGATAGTACAAATATGAAACAATTTTTTGTTTGTGTGCGTGTGTTTGTGTGTGTGTGGATGTGTGTGTGTTTGTGTGTGTGTGTGTGTGTGGGTGTTTGTGTGTGTGGGTGTGTGTGTGTGTGTTTGTGTGTGTATGTGTGTGTGTTTGTGTGTGTGTGGGTGTGTGGGTGTGTGTGTGTTTGTGTGTGTGTGTGTGTGTGTGGGTGCGTGTGTGCATGATGTCCCTAGGAAAGCGTGGTTTCAGATCCAGGCCGTCTTGGGCAACACAACACCCTGAGCCCATTCCCTAGTCCGTTCCGGAGCCCATTCCGGAGTCCCCTGCACTGCAGCCCCTTTAAGAACCTGGGCCATGCTACGGGACACTGTGCCCTGGACCTGGACTGTGAAGACGATGACATGAACCTGAGCTGCTTCATCCTCATGTTCGACCTCATCCTCAAACAGGTGGCCAAGTCTTTGAGCATGAATGTGCATTTTGTTTGTGTGCTGAATGGGCGTGTTTGTTTGCATGTGAGCAAGGAAGTGTGTGCTGTATATGAATGTATTATTTTGAAGGTCGGAAGGCACATTCCAGACATGGGTTCATTTATACAGTACTGTTTGTTACATTTTACAATGCCTCATTGAATATGTCAGCGCCACCAAGTTGAATTCCGTCCCACTTTCTATTTCTGTGGGTTCTCCTGTTCAACACGTTGTGTTGGTTCCTTGTCCAGATGGAGCTTCAGGATGACGGTGTGATGCTGGTTCTGGAAAGCAGCCTGGGGAAGGACATCGTGGGCATAATCAACAATGTTTTCCAGGCCCCGTGGGGGGGCTCCCACACCTGTCAGAAGGACGAGAAGGCCATGGAGTGCAGCCTGTGCCAGTCTAGCATCTTATGCTACCAGCTGGGCTGTGAGCTCCTGGAGAGACTCACCCCCAGGGAGGAGATACATCTGGTGGTGAGACACACATGCACACACACTCCTGTAAAAACAACATGAAGGATGTCCTGAAGCGTCCCAATAGTTTTTCAGTGGTTGGTAATTCTTACTGTATTTGGTTGTCAATAGACATTATTGTGTCTTCCCTATAGGAGCCAACAGACGGCTTGGAGGACACATTGCTGTTGCCTCAAGTTTTTGGACCAGAACAAGGGACAAAGGGAAGGACAGAGGAAGGGGACAACCCTGCCAGCACACACACTGACAACCCTACCAATCAAAGTGACTCTCCTGACAACCCACGTATGTATCCATGGTGACCTAAGGCTTGGGTTGGAAGGGATTTGAAATTAGTACAGAATGTCTCAATGCATTGATACAAATCTGATGAAACACAAGCAGAACAATGCTCAGTTGTGTCGGTGTAAACACCTCATTATTATAAAAATCCCAAATGTATCGTATGACCTGAAGCCAACAAATGTGAAAAAGATGACATGAACACTTCTCTGTAACAGTTCAGAGGCAGTGTGCAACATGAAAAGGAAACACTGCATCGTTTCTCCTCTGCTGGGTATTTCTCTGTTTTATATCAAAGCTTTCTCTCCTACAGCAATGAAGAATAATGCTGATAAGAAGTTTTCCTACCAGCAGCTCCCTGTGTCTCTCAAGCTAATATACACTATTCTGCAGGTACCTGCCAGTCCACCTTTATCCAGTGTTAAATCATCTTGTAATGTACGGATATAAACTGTCTAAATACTATAATAGATGCGTAATCAAAGAAAATAATCCCCTATCCTCATTAGAAAAGATTGAGAGAGCAAAGGAACTCTACCTTCTGTTCCCTATGTAGGAAATGTCAAAGTTTGAGGAGCCTGATATCCTGTTCAACATGCTGAACTGTCTGAAGACCCTGTGTCTCCACGGAGAGTGTCTGTACCTGGCCCGTAAGGACCACCCCCAATTCCTGGCCTACATCCAGGAAAAGATGCTCATTCCCAGGTCAACACAGTCACCATCACCACATGGGGCCCCGCCTGCAGTTTTACACATACCTTGTTGGTTTTCTACAGATATCTCTGCTAGTACTTTCTTTAAACATGACTTGAGCCATGAGATGTAGCTACATGTATCAACTGAAATTGTCGATCACCATCTTAAGGAAAGTTGTACTTGATCATCAAACACGTGAAGAGCCGCCAGGTGTGTGTGTGTGTGTATATGTGTGTGTCTTATGTGATACCTGTGTGTTCTAGCCTGTGGACCATGCTGAAGTCCGAGTTCTGCCAGCTGGCCTCCCTGGCCGTGCCCCAGCTCCTGCATGCCCTCTCCCTCTCCCATGGAGCAGACATCTTCTGGAACCTGGTGGACAGCAATTTCAACAGCAAGGACTGGAAGATACGCTTTGAAGCAGGTGAATGATATAGGAGTCTCCACCGTACGTGTGTGTGTCTGTGTGTGTGTGTGTTTACGTATGTGTGAGTACTGTATGTAACGACATGAATAAATCATAATCCCCCCCTCAACAAACCTATGTCTACTCCCATGGTTACTACTGTATGTGGCTCTAGCATGTAGCACAGAGGAATTGTGGGATTATTAATCAGGCCCTTCTCGCCCTGTGATTGGCAGAGAGGAGCTGTGTGTGACCTTGGGATGAAGTCAGAGGACAGGGTCTCTGTCTGGTAGCATGGATATACTGTAGATACAGAGGGTGGACCGTTAATGTACATACAGTGCCTTGCAAAAGTATTCATCCCCCTTGGCGTTTTTCCTATTTTGTTGCATTACAACCTGTAGTTTAAATGGATTTTTTATTTGGAGTTCATGTAATGGACATGCACAAAACAGTCCAAATTGGTGAAATGAAATGAAAAAAAATAAATAACGGAAAAGTGGTGCGTGCATATGTATTCACCCCCTTTGCTATGAAGCCCCTAAATAAGATCTGGTGCAACCAATTACCTTCAGAAGTCACGTAATTAGTTTAATAAAGTCCACCTGTGTGCAATCTAAGTGTCACATGATCTGTCACATGATCTCAGTATATATACACCTGTTCTGAAAGGCCCCAGAGTCTGCAACACCACTAAGCAAGGGGCACCACCAAGCAAGCGGCATCATGAAGACCAAGGAGCTCTCCAAACAGGTCAGGGACAAAATTGTGGAGAAGTACAGATCAGGGTTGGATTATAAAAAAAATATCCGAAACTTTGAACATCCCACGGAGCACCATTAAATCCATTATTAAAAAATGGAAAGAATATGGCACCACAACAAACCTGCCAAGAGAGGGCCACCCACCAAAACTCACGGACCAGGCAAGGAGGCCATTAATCAGAGAGGCAACAAAGAGACCAAAGATAACCCTGAAGGAGCTGCAAAGCTCCACAGCGGAGATAGGAGTATCTGTCCATAGGACCAGTTTAAGCCGTACACTCCACAGAGCTGGGCTTTACGGAAGAGTGGCCAGAAAAAAGCCATTGCTTAAAGAAAAAAATAAGCAAACACGTTTGGTGTTCGCCAAAAAGCATGTGGGAGACTCCCCAAACATATGGAAGAAGGTACTCTGGTCAGATGAGACTAAAATGTAGCTTTTTGGCCATCAAGGAAAATCAATTTTAATTCCAGGTTGTAAGGCAACAAAATAGTGAAAATGCCAAGGGGGGTGAATACTTTCGCAAGCCACTGTATATTTTAAGTTAGATCCAAATATCTTGATTTTATTTTTGTAGTTTTATCGTGACATTGTCACAGAGCACCAATTAGAATATAATATAATAATATCAGTATGCTACATTCACATTAACTAATTTAACAGACTCTGACCATAAACATCATAAAAAGTAGATATTGATTAAATAATATTGCAAAGTAACATTGAAAAATAACAGGAACAATTGCTAAGGGAAATTATGTGTCATGATGACTAAATGTAATGTACACACATGAGCCTTAGGATGATGATGATCATGAATTCTAATGATATTATTATGGCCCCATATTAGCTGTACTGAAACAGATGGTAATTTACTTGTCTGTGTAAATTAACAAAAAAAAAGACACCAGTTGGGTGCCAAAGCAGTACTATGACCCACATCATAGATTATCCATTATATTGACCAGATACTCTAGTGGCCGCTCTAACAATGAAAATAAATGTCATCAAAAATGGAAGGCAGTCGGGAGAAGGGCAGATACGCATGTGAACAACAGGCACAACGGTTTCCACTAGTTACCACAGCCACTATGTCAACATTGGCTATATCGTAAGAATTCATGAAAACAAACATTTGCTTTTTGGTGTTAATTTAAGGTTAGGGTTAGGCATACGGTTGGCAGTGTGGTTAAAGTTAGGGTTAGGTTTAAAATCACATTTTAAGAAGAGAAATTGTAGAAATAGGCGGGGTTTATGACTTTGGTTGTGGTATCTAGTGACGACCAGGCACAACGCCGATATAAAGTATTTTTTCTCACAATTGACGGGATGTCCAGTGTACTACCTGTCCTACACTTGTAACAACCTAATCATTATGAAGCTTCTATTCGATCAAATAAGCCACACGTAGCAAATAAGCAATTACATTTTTTGGTTAACCAAATTCGAGTGGGTGGGCGTATAACGCGAACATCTAGCAACCCAAAGGTTGCGTGTTCGAATCTCATCACGGACAACTTGAGCTAATTAGCAACTTTGCAACTATTTACTACTTTTTAGCTACTTTGCAACTACTTAGCATGTTAGCTAACCCTAACTTTAACCCATTAATATAACTCCTAACCTTAACCCTAACCTTAACTCCTAACCCTAACCCCTAGCATTGCTAACGTTAGCCACCTAGTTAACGTTAGCCACAACAAATAGGAATTTGTAACATACTGTATAATGCGTTTTGCAAATTCGTAACATATTGTACGAATTGCAATTTGTAACATACTGTACGAATTGCAATTCGTAACATATCACACAAATTGTAATTTGTAACATATCATACGAAATATATAATGGACATCCACAAATGAATACATGCCATACGAAACATAACATATCATACTAATTGTGGAGTGTCACGGATTTATATTTACTATGATACGTCTAGCCCCTGAGTCCAGGTTGGTTATCCCTCTGGCTTTGCCTCTTGCTCTCTGCCCACAGGCAATCTGGCTAGGATACTGCTGTCTCGCTTCCTTCTCCTGCTAATGCCCATCAGCATTAGAGTGATGCTGCTTTTAACACTATCCTTTGCAATGACAAGAAGAAATAGATTGATAGATTTGCTTGATTTGTTATTGTCCCCGTGGATCTGTCCCTGTCCGTACTTTCATCACACGCGATTTCTCAGACAGCAGTGGCCCCATTTTGACGAAATTTGGGTGAATGATGCCTCTTGCCATATAGATCCGGCATTTACAAAATTGTGGCATTTATGTGTGGGATTGGAAATGATGCAGACAATTACATTGATGGAAGCTACAATCAATCTGCAATATTAAAGCTGATCTACCCCCTAAAAATATATATATATACTGTATATATATACTTTATTTTTACATAATTGCATCGCCCGTGGGGACGACATGTTTACTGATGCATTGTTTGTCATATATATGTATAAGTAAGGTTTACAAGAGAAAAAACGTACAAACAAATAATTAGAGTGTAGAAAGTGGTGTTCTCATTATACCTTTTACTTAGTGACCTATCTATATCGACCTTTATGTGACATGGCGCTGAGATGTTGTCTTGTGCCCTGTCTGTGTTGTCATGGTAACTCCCAGTGGAGAAGGTAGCGGTGCTCTGTCGGTTCCTAGACATTGGTTCTGTGACGAAAAACCACCTGCTGAAGTACTCCCTGGCCCACGCCTTTTGCTGCTTCCTGGCCTCTGTGGAGGATGTCAACCCAGCTGTGGCCACACGCGCCAGGCTGCTGCTGGACACAATCAAGAGCCAAGCACTACAGGTGACTAACATAGATCTATCTAGACCAAGATAAATACTCCTATTCAACTACCATACAACCATTTTTCTTGTAACAATTGAACACGTGTATGGAGTATTTTATGTCAGCAAACAATTTCAGATTGACAAATAAGGCATAAACATGTAAGTGCAGTGCTAACACTTGTGTGTCTGTGTCTGTCTGTGTCTGTATCTGTGTGTGTCTGTGTCTGTATCTGTGTGTGTGCCTGCAGGGCTTGTGTCTGTGCCTGGACTTCCAGTTCGACACAGTGGTGAGGGACCGGCCCATCATCCTCAGCAAGCTGCTGATGCTGCACCACCTGAAGCAGGAGGTCCCTGCCCTCAGCTGGGAGTTCTTTGTCAATCGCTTCGAGACGCTCTCCCTGGAGGCCCAGCTCCACCTGGACTGCAACAAGGAGTTCCCTTTCCCAACCAGTACGCCCAGTTGGTTGATTCTCTCTGTTACATAGTCTGCATAATAGAACTTGCACTATGACTTATATTCAATACAACAAACCAAGCATGTAGGGAAACATAAACCTGTGAAATAAGAACATAACTGTTCCAGTTGAGGTGTGTTAAGTGTTATGAGGCACGGTCACAGTGATGTGTGTTATTTATCTTTCCTTCCTTGCCTCTCCCTGTCAGCCATCACAGCTGTGCGCACCAACGTGGCCAACCTTAGTGATGCAGCGATGTGGAAAATCAGACGTGCACGCTTTGCCAGGAACCGCCAGAAGAGTGTACGTTCCCTCCGTGACAGCGTCAAGGGCCCGTCCGAGTCCAAGCGGGCCTTCTCCCTCCCAGAGACTCTGTGTAACCGTCTACGTAAGTGTCCAGTTGGTAGTGTCCTTTGGTTGGTTATGCTACTAGTCTGTGGGTCTCAGATTTTCTCTGTCCCATGCTCCTACTGTTTCTCTCCTCATCCATGCACCTCTCTGTTCTGTTAGTACACCTACAAACAGTATCAGTGCTCCTGTTTGTTTTTATTCAATTGTTTTCTCAGTAATTCATTCTCTTGCTGGATGTAAGAGTTCTGTCTTATCTGTGATTTCCTCATTGATTCTGCATAGGATGCGGTCTGAGTTTCTGGGAAAGGGGGTCTACTGTTGGCTTAAGACTGTGTGTGGTTGTTGAGCTTGAGTGCTTCACATTTTTTTTCATGGAAGCTAAATTATTCATAGAATTACTTGATAAGTCTTAGGATCCACATACGTCTTGGGATCACTTTGTGTGAATGGTGTGAGACATTGGGATGTATAGGGTTGTCTGGTGTGAGACATTGGGATGTATAGGGTTGTCTGGTGTGAGACATTGGGATGTATAGGGTTGTCTGGTGTGAGACATTGGGATGTATAGGGTTGTCTGGTGTGAGACATTGGGATGTATAGGGTTGTCTGGTGTGAGACATTGGGATGTATAGGGTTGTCTGGTGTGAGACATTGGGATGTATAGGGTTGTCTGGTGTGAGACATTGGGATGTATAGGGTTGTCTGGTGTGAGACATTGGGATGTATAGGGTTGTCTGGTGTGAGACATTGGGATGTATAGGGTTGTCTGGTGTGAGACATTGGGATGTATAGGGTTGTCTGGTGTGAGACATTGGGATGTATAGGGTTGTCTGGTGTGAGACATTGGGATGTATAGGGTTGTCTGGTGTGAGCCATTGGGATGTATAGGGTTGTCTGGTGTGAGACATTGGGATGTATAGGGTTGTCTGGTGTGAGACATTGGGATGTATAGGGTTGTCTGGTGTGAGCCATTGGGATGTATAGGGCTGTCTGGTGTGAGACATTGGGATGTATAGGGTTGTCTGGTGTGAGAATTGGGATGTATAGTGTTGTCTGGTGTGAGACATTGGGATGTATAGGGTTGTCTGGTGTGAGACATTGGGATGTATAGGGTTGTCTGGTGTGAGACATTGGGATGTATAGGGTTGTCTGGTGTGAGACATTGGGATGTATAGGGTTGTCTGGTGTGAGACATTGGGATGTATAGGGTTGTCTGGTGTGAGACATTGGGATGCATAGGGTTGTCTGGTGTGAGACATTGGGATGTATAGGGTTGTCTGGTGTGAGACATTGGGATGTATAGGGTTGTCTGGTGTGAGACATTGGGATGTATAGGGTTGTTTGGTGTGAGACATTGGGATGTATAGGGTTTTCTGGTGTGAGACATTGGGATGTATAGGGTTGTCTGGAAGCTCAGACGTGTCCTGTGCTACTTTCCCAGAACATTCTCCTAAATTGTGTTCTCATGTGTGGTTTTTAGCTCTAAGGCTTACGAGGCAAGAGCACTCTGCCCCGACTCTGGGAGATATGATAGAGAAAGTCCTGCCAGGTAAATAACAACCCAAATCTGACTCACCTTATTACAACAGAACCAGATCAGCATTCCCTTCAGCATAATCACATCATAGTGGGAGAAATAAATAACTCATGGCTACTGATAAAGTTGATGGGCATCAGGAAACTTGATGAAAAAACAATGTTTGCTCTTTACTGACATTCATTGCTTTTCATCCAGAATTCATAGATTGTGCGTTCTATTTTAGTCTCAGGCAAAAATGGGAGAAAACTGTTACTCTTGCTATCTTGATAGCTTGTCACATTTTCTGTTTGCATTTGACATATTCTATGAATATGTTAAAGTGATGTCCATATATGTAATCACCCTGCTGAATGTAGACCAAATGAGATGACTGTCGTACCATCTCCCTCTCTGTGTTCCCCTGCTTCACTGCCCCTCTCCTCTCCATCCGCTCCCCTGCCTGCAGCACGCTTCCTCCCGCCCTTTAACCCTGACGCTTCAGCCTCTCTCCTAGGCCACAGCCCCTCACCGGAGGACGACTCGGTCATCAGGGACCTGCTCCCAGAGGATGCTGGGATAGATCACCAGACGGTGCACCAGCTCATCATGGTGCTGATGAAGTTCATGGCCAAAGACAAGAGCAGTGCCGAGGCAGACATTGGCAGTGCCAAGGCCTTCAACACGGTGAAGCGCCACCTATATGTACTGCTGGGCTTCGACCAGCAGGAGGGTTGCTTCATGATCGCACCGCAAAAGATGAGGACCTCAACCTCCTTCAATGCTTTCATCGCTGGCATCGCACAGGTCAGAGAATATCAATTAACCCTATGAATGACTCCGCTGTTTTAATGATAAACTTTGAATAAATGTTGAGTTTAATCCCCAGAAAAATCCCTGACTCTCACCTGCTTCAGTTGGGAGTAAATTTAAGATGGGAGTTTTTTGTTGTTGTCTTGTTTCCCTCTGTAAAGTTTAAGTTTCATGTTGCTGCTGCTGATTATGACAATGTGTCAAGCTTCAAGAACAACCTAGCGTGATGTGATGTGATATCTCCTCCAGGTGATGGACTACAATATTGGGCTGGGGAAGCAGCTGCTCCCCCTGGTGGTCCAGGTGTTGAAGTACTGCACATGCCCCCAGCTCAGACACTACTTCCAGCAGCCCCCACGCTGCTCTCTCTGGGCCCTGCGGCCACACATCCGACAGATGTGGCTCAAAGCCTTGCTGGTCATCCTCTACAAGGTAAACACTACCCATGTTTGGAATATAATGAAACCTTATCCACTATGTGAATGTGTTAACATTGAAAACTGTATACAGTGTGTGTATAACTGATTGCCTGCACTTGAAAGTCTGCTTGTGAAATGTTAGTATTGGGAACAACAGCTAATTTATACATATTTTTGTTGCTTTGTACTCTCTTACCCTCCACTTCTACCAATCCTGTGTGTGGTCCCAGTACCCCTACAGGGACATGGATGTGAGTAAAGTGGTTCTGCACCTGATCCACATCACCATCAACACCCTGAATGCCCAGTACCACAGCTGTAGACCCCATGCCACCGCCGGACCCCTCTACAGTGACAACTCCAACATCAGTCGCTACAGCGAGAAAGAGAAAGGTGGGGCTAACAACTACCACCATAAAGATTATTTCATTACTGGACTAGGCTTGAAATGAATCTGGAGTAAGACTTGAGAGATTTGGACATAATGTGTGTGTTTTTTTCTTTTCAGAGGAGGACAGTGTGTTTGATGAGTCTGATGTCCATGACACCCCAACTGGAGCAGGCAACAAGGAGTCCCAGACCTTCTTCGCCCGTCTGAAGAGGATCGGTGGCAGCAAGTCTGTCAAGTACCAGCCAGTGGAGCTGAATGCCCAGAAAAGTATAAAAATAGTCTCAAAGGATGACCTATTTTATCCAGCAATTAAATGAATTGAACTTAAAAGTTTGTGCTGATATGAATTGAGCTTTCACAGATTTTTACAATCAGAAATGATCTATATTTTGATCCTCCCTCTGTCTGTGTCAGGTGAAATTGAGCTGTCTGAGTACCGCGAGGCCAGTGCGCTGCAGGACAGCATCCTGCACTGTGTGAGGGAGGAAAGCACCAGGAAGAAGCGTCTGCAGGCCATGCACAAGCAGAAGTCCTTGGACATTGCCAACACTGACTCCATCCTCTACAACCTGGACGAGCACCGACGCAAGTCCTGCATAGACCGCTGTGACCTGCAGCATGGTCCCTCCGCACCCCCCTCCTCCACCACCTCCCACCTCAGGCAGAAGGGGGGCCATGGGAAGGGCTCATCAGACGGTTCCTCAGGCCGAGCGGAGGGCAGCGACCACCGGGACCGTCGAGGCTCCCGGGGGGGCCACTCAGACTGCTCCAGGCCTGTCATCCCAGAGGTGCGTCTCAGCTGCATGGAGACGTTTGAGGACAAGGCCGACCTGGACTCCCCTCTGACAGGGGGCTCATCAGCAGAGAAGGAGGACCCGGACCTCATTGACCTCTCCTCCGACTGTACCTCCATCCCAGAGAAGCACTCCATCCTTTCCATGTCCGACAGCGACTCCCTGGTGTTTGAACCCCTGCCACCACTGAGGATTGTGGAGAGTGACGAGGAGTTTGACCTCAACACGGTGATGGGCTCCAGGCTGAATGGGAGTGCCAGGCCCCCAGCCTCCCCTGCCAGGCCCACTTCCTCCCCTGTCAGGCCCCCTTCCTCACCTGCCAGCAGCAGCACCCTGCGCCTGTCCCCGGTGGTGCAAGTGAGCGTGGAGGACTGCTCTAAGGACAAGAAGATCACAGACTCCCCTGCAAAAGAAATCCCTCAACAGCCTTTACAGAGGAGGCCACGCTATGCGACCCCCACCACCTCCCTGGAGCTGCCTGACCGGCCGGAGCACACTGGCCTGGAGAGCCCCATGACCCTCAGCTTACAACAGAAGAGGGACCTGCTGAGGAAGACCCCTGCTGTCCCTGACACCTCCCTGGATGATTTTGTGCACCCCGAGGACCTGAAGGCAGCGGTGGGTCTGGGGACCAGTCCCTCTGGCAGGACTGTCTTCCTGGACATCCCTGAAGACACAGCCGAGCCCCTCAACTCTCTGGAGGGGAACAACAATGATGAAGAGGAAGATTATGAAGATGATGATGATGACCTTGATGACAGCGACCTTAAACCGGATGATGATGATGATGACAATGACGAGGCAGAGTTTAAGATCCAGATAGTTCCCCGGCAACGCAAGCAGAGGAAGATAGCTGTGAGTGCCATCCAGAGAGAGTACCTGGACATCTCCTTCAACACCCTGGACAAGCTGGGTGAGCAGCCCACTGAGACAGGTAAGGGAGCAGGGTCAGGGGAGAAAGAGAAGCCTCAGTCCAGAGGTCTCCCTCTGTATGGACCTACAGCTGCTGTATCCTTTTACTGTGCCCCTGAGATACGTATGCTGACTTCATGCACAATATGTATTTTTGATGTATGTGTGTTTCAGTGGTGACATCTCTAAGATTTGAGGGGGTTTAAGAGATATGACTGAAAATCAAGTTTTCTAGAATAGTTATGGAAGTGTCTGCTTAGAAGGGCAGAACCACATGAACAGACTATACATTGTCTAGTCGGATATCCATGCTACCTCAAATCTTCAGTCAACTGGTCACCACTGCTGTCTCCTGTCCTGTGGTGTGGCTTTGTACGAGTCTCTCCCTTTTCCCATTCCAACCCATGGTAAACACCTGAAAAACAAAACATACTGTGAAATAAAGTCCTAGAAGCTGATAAGTAAATATCAGTACAGCATCTTCAAATTACTGCAACACACTGTCCATAAATAGCTGTCCATATAGGAACAAGTGATAACATAAAATGAGAGGCAAATTAGTTTTTTTACTAAATAGGGCATCAATAAACAATTGTAATTTCTTCACAAAATCTTCATTTTAGATTGCTGTTGCACTAGGACTTACTCTATACTTGTAGTTAACCACTTGTAGTTCTACACTACATTTGTATTGGCGTTGGGTGTCTGCAGCATCTCATGCCCTAAACAGTTGTCCACATGTGAGGTTATAAGGTGGCTGAGAGCTGAAGCAGCCACTATTGCGCCCCATCACTCACCCACGTTGCCTTGCAGATCACAAGGTTCTGTCTACCCTGGAAAATCCACGGGAATCCGCCTCAGCCCCCACCCTCGAAGCTGCTATCCCAGAAACAAGCAACCGCTCTTCAGTATCAAGTAGGATCCAAATACTTTCTCATTGTCATCTGTTTAAATTCACCAATAAAACAGGGTGTGGTCATCACACCCAGAACATTACACCGTTCAAACATTTGGCCTTGTTTTTTTCAAGGTGTAAAATAGTTTTTCTTCAGTAGTTTTTTCTCAGCATTATGTTTTTGACACCAGTGCAGTGTTTTTTTCTTCTTCTTATCAATAGACCAGGTATTATATCTATCCGACAATATATACAATCTTGAATATATGCAACTAAGCCATTAAATCATTTCATTTTTATATTTACCTCTGTGAGTGTCTTCCACTCCCCATTTTCATGACAGTTTGTTTAAGTAAACCAGACATTGAAATGAAAGTGGAAAGTACCAGGCAACTCAATCCTCTGTGTGTGTGTCACACCCCCAGCTCAGTACCGTCAGTCGAAGCGGGGCTCGTTAGGAGCTCTAACCATGACCCAGCTGATGAAGAGACAGTTGGAGCACCAGTCCAGCGCCCCTCACAACATCAGCACCTGGGAGACAGGTCAGTCCCTGGCTGCCTCTGGTCCACCTCTTCAGATTAGTAAATATCAAAACACCTTTTAAATACTGTAATGACTTTGTTTGACTGTGCTAATTGTTGTGTTGCTCTCTAAACAGGCCCCACCAAGTCCAGCCTCTTATCTGCCCCCAGTACAGTCAGCATGTTTGTGCCCGCCCCCGAGGAGTTCATTGATGATCAGCCCACCACCATGACTGACAGGTGAGTGAACCTACCGCCAACCACCAACACTGACTGGTGTGTCATTCAGGACAGTGGACACTTTATGTATTAATGGTTATTCATTGTTATTAATCAGGTGTCGTGACTGTGGTGCGGTGCTAGAGGAGTATGATGAGGAGACCCTGGGCCTGGCAGTGGTGGTGCTCTCCATGTTCATCCACCTCAGCCCTGACCAGGCCGCTCCACTGTTGCTGGACATCATGCAGTCTGTGGGCAGGTCTGGCAACTACAGCATCTCCTGCATCAACCCCTTTATAAATCCCATACACAAACCTGATTGTTCAGTAAAGTTTTAGCACACTTTCTGTCATGTCTCCGATCTTGAATTCAGATTTTTTTCTTACAGGCTGGCGTCTAGTGCTAACTTCTCTGGGCAAGCTGAGAGGTATGACACATCATAACCAGACATACTAAATATATTATTATATTGTGTGTGCTAAACTCAGGTGTACTGTGGATGCTGAGGACTTGTTCACGCTGGCTGTATTCTTGTACACAAATGAGAGAATGGGCCAACATGAGGTGCAGACGCTCTGTGTGTGAGTTGATGTTTATGTCTCTGTTGGTGTAGTATGCTGATCCCTGGCAACGCAGCAGGTGTGGCTAAGCAGTTCCTCCGCTGTGTGATCCACCAGCTGGCCCCCAATGGCATCCTTCCCCAGCTCTTCCAGAGCAACATCAAAGGTCTACTCATACACACAAAACACAATATGGTTCCTGTTAAGAGCAACTTTCTGAGGGATATGGTTTGATCTTTACCGTCAATTTCTGTGTATTTCCAGATGGAGGTTTTCTGAGAACGTTGGCTTCTTCCCTGATTGATTTTAATGAACTGAGTTCTGTGGCTGCACTGAACCAGCTGCTGGAGGTGGGACTTTTACTTGCTTAGTGTAATGATTAAAGCTCAGCACTCAGCTGAAGGAACTATGCCGGTGTGTGTTTGTGGATGTCTTGAATCTCAAGCAAAATGTCCACTTTCATCATGTATCCAGCAGGAGGAGCTCTTGTAAAAGGTGACGACACTATAACATTGCTGTTTGGATAGCGTGATGCCAAAGCAAATTAAGAATGCTGCTGAAGAGTATGCCTCTGCATGGTTGTTCACCATATTCACTCTTCTCTATTAACTTGGTTTCTTCTCTTTTGCAATCTTACACTGTTACAATGTTCAAGGAATAGCGCTTGTGACAGTCCACCTCAGTTCACTCCTTTGGCTCATAACATCATTAGTCCAAACCACTTTTAGAATATAATTTGTAAACAATTGAACAGTTGGTAACGGCTCTATGGCAATATATATGTATTATGTAACCCTGTTGTCGTTTATTCCACTATCCTCAGGGTCTGAACAACAAGAAGAGTCTACCAGCAGGGGGCACCATGCTGCATTGCCTGGAGAACATCGCCACCTTCATGGAGGCCCTGCCCATGGACTCCCCCAGCAACCTGTGGACCACCATCTGCAATCAGTTCCAGACCTTCCTCACTAAACTACCCTCTGTGCTGCCTCTGAAGGTACTGGACCTCGCTCTGCATGTAGGCTGCATTGACTGTGACCAATATAGAGCTACAGCCTTATGAAGAATTGTATGATATCTCTTTAACAGTGTCCCCTGGACTCCAGTTTGAGGATCATAATTTGCCTGTTGAAGATCCCCACCACAAGTGCAACCCGGGTGAGTCTGTCTGTGTGTGCTTTAAAATACATTAGGCCTGCTAACCAAATGGTGAGCGCAGTCTTCAATTGAGTGTCATAAATCACACTATCCCAGCCCTTCTCTGATAAGGCCCTGAGCAGGTTATATGATTGTTTACATTCTGACTCTTTAAATCAAAGGACTTACATCTGATAGCATTCAGTTATGTCAGATCTTGTTCAGTGAACAGCTCATTCACGTAGACTGTCATTTGCATGAATGAACTCATGTCTTTTTTTTACATATGTATATATTTTTTTTAAGGGGGGGGGTAGATCAGCTTAATATTGCAGATATATTGTAACTTCCATCAATGTAATTGTCTGCATCACTTCCAATCCCCCATGTTTATATATATATATATATATATATATATATATACAGTGAGGGAAAAAAGTATTTGATCCCCTGCTGATTTTGTACGTTTGCCCACTAACAAAGAAATGATCAGTCTATAATTTTAATGGTAGGTTTATTTGAACAGTGAGAGACAGAATAACAGTAAAAAAATCCAGAAAAACGCATGTCAAAAATGTTATTAATTGATTTGCATTTTAATGAGGGAAATAAGTATTTGACCCTTCTGCAAAACATGACTTAGTACTTGGTGGCAAAACCCTTGTTGGCAATCACAGAGGTCAGACGTTTCTTGTAGTTGGCCCCCAGGTTTGCACACATCTCAGGAGGGATTTTGTCCCACTCCTCTTTGCAGATCTTCTCCAAGTCATTATGGTTTCGAGGCTGACGTTTGGCAACTCGAACCTTCAGCTCCCTCCACAGATTTTCTATGGGATTAAGGTCTGGAGACTGGCTAGGCCACTCCAGGACCTTAATGTGCTTCTTCTTGAGCCACTCCTTTGTTGCCTTGGCCGTGTGTTTTGGGTCATTGTCATGCTGGAATACCCATCCACGACCCATTTTCAATGCCCTAGTTTGAGGGAAGGAGGTTCTCACCCAAGATTTGATGGTACATGGCCCCGTCCATCGTCCCTTTGATGCGGTGAAGTTGTCCTGTCCCCTTAGCAGAAAAACACCCCCAAAGCATAATGTTTCCACCTCCATGTTTGACGGTGGGGATGGTGTTCTTGGGGTCATAGGCAGCATTCCTCCTCCTCCAAACACGGCGAGTTGAGTTGATGCCAAAGAGCTCGATTTTGGTCTCATCTGACCACAACACTTTCACCCAGTTCTCCTCTGAATCATTCAGATGTTCATTGGAAAACTTCAGACGGACCTGTATATGTGCTTTCTTGAGCAGGGGGACCTTGCGGGCGCTGCAGGATTTCAGTCCTTCATGGCGTAGTGTGTTACCAATTGTTTTCTTGGTGACTATGGTCCCAGCTGCCTTGAGATCATTGACAAGATCCTCCTGTGTAGTTCTGGGCTGATTCCTCACCGTTCTCATGATCATTGCAACTCCACGAGGTGAGATCTTGCATGGAGCCCCAGGCCGAGGGAGATTGACAGTTATTTTTTGTTTCTTCCATTTGCGAATAATCGCACCAACTGTTGTCACCTTCTCACCAAGCTGCTTGGCGATGGTCTTGTAGCCCATTCCAGCCTTGTGTAGGTCTACAATCTTGTCCCTGACATCTTTGGAGAGCTCTTTGGTATTGGCCATGGTGGAGAGTTTGGAATCTGATTGATTGATTACTTCTGTGGATAGGTGTCTTTTATACAGGTAACAAACTGAGAATAGGAGCACTCCCTTTAAGAGTGTGCTCCTAATCTCAGCTCGTTACCTGTATAAAAGACACCTGGGAGCCAGAAATCTTTCTGATTGAGAGGGGGTCAAATACTTATTTCTCTCATTAAAATGCAAATCAATTCATAACATTTTTGACAAGCGTTTTTCTGGATTTGTTTGTTGTTATTGTGTCTCTCACTGTTCAAATAAACCTACCATTAAAATTATAGACTGATCATTTCTTTGTCAGTGGGCAAACGTACAAAATCAGCAGGGGATCAAATACTTTTTTTCCTCACTGTATATACATACACATACATATACATACATATATATATACATATAAATACACATATACACACATACATACACACATACATACATACAGATACAGTGCTATGAAAAAGCACCTGCCCCCCTTCCAATCCTCTCCACCTCCGCACACCTGCGACACTGAATGCCACCAGATCCCCAACCAAAACCCAACACTAGACAAAGGGAACATAAGTGAACAAACAACACAACAACCACACATCTACTCCATCCATTTCACAAACAAAGCCATGCAACACCCAATTCCCCCGTGCGAAAAAGCAACCCACCCCCCACACTCAACAACTGGCCGTGCCACACCCAGCCGCAACGACCCCAACCAAACGCCCCCTGCAGCTGCCGATCAGTCCCCCACGCCGCTGCGGAGGAACCCCGGCCCACTCCCCCACGCAGAACAGCTTCAACCCAGCGACGCGCGGGCCCCCAAGCACGAACCGCTCGCCCCAAGACCCGCCACAACATCTCAACTGGGACCAGGCCCAGACCCCGACCCCATAAATCTTACTCATTTGGAATAAGCAGGAAGTCTTACAAAATCCCTGTTGTGTTAAGATCCACTCAGCCACCCACCAGGCATGGACCCAGCCTTAACTATGTATTTTCCTCCTCTTCCTCAGAGCTTACTCGAGCCCTTCTCCAAACTGCTGAGCTTTGTCATCCAGTATGGAGTGTTCAGCCTCTCTTACCTGGTGGAGCTGTGTGGCCTCTGTTACAAAGCCTTCAACAAGGTAGATATGTACAGTTTAGCTTACATTTGCTAGTATATTTGTTTATTATGTTTGTAAAAAAAAAAAATAATAATAAAGAAATGGTAGCATTGCAATGATCTCATGTGAAAGGTCCAATTTGAAAAGCGATACAGAAATATTACTTTGTCCCACATTGTTAAATATGAAACCATGTCTGCATACCTCTGTATACTGTAGTTATTGGTGATAATACTTATCCCCAGCCTCTCCTGCTAGACAGCAAGGTGGCTGTGTGTCACAGATGATTAAGTAGACAATCAGCCAGTATTGATTTACATGGTTAGTTGGGGCTCTGGGCTGAGGATATATGGTGTGCATGAGGGGAAGCCTCCCTCTGTTAGAGCTGGGGCCTGGGCTGTCTCCTGCTGCAGGACGGATGGATCCTCACCCCGCTACTGCTGTCACAGCGCCATGCTTTATGTCTCCAGCTCTATTGATTTCCTCTAGCCTGCTTAATCCCCGCTATATAACATCCATTTCTCCAAACGCGAGTCAACATGACTGATTATGTCTATATACATGTTTCCTGTGCAGTTAGTCTTATGAGGTGAGCTTTCTCAAATACAAGTTTAAGGAGGATTTTTCAGTGCTTGGGGTATTGTAGACATACAGATGCACTATACATAGAACATTTGAACAAAAATGACCCCTAATTGTTTATTCTGTAATATACCTACCAATGTAGATAATAAAGTGATAATACGGTAACTACTGTATGCTATGCCATAAGTTTACCTACTGAAAACGTGTGTGAAACAACAGTGTTGTAGACATGATGAGAGAGAGAGAGAGAGAGAGAGAGAGAGAGAGAGAGAGAGGTTGGTAAGCACGCAGGGCTTTGTATTGAGGGGATGATTTAACAGAGAGAGAGCGGTGGCTCCCCAGGCTGACAGCCTCATCTGAACTGGGCCCCTGGGAGAGAGGAGATCTGGACTGGGTGCCATGCTAATCAGATCCTCTGTCTCTCTGTCTCTATTCAGACCACAGACAACCTTTATACTCCAGTACACACACACAGGCAACACTGTATGAGCACTGGAGAGGGAGAGAGATACAGTACACAGCCCTGCAATATTAAATAAGACAGTGAGAAAACATCCACCAGGAAAACCTTTTTCCCCCAGTATGCCTAAGAGCTTATCTCACTTGGTTCCTCTAAAATCATTACAACATTTTACACAGTTGTTTTCTATATTCTCTTTCCACCGTCCTCATTTGTCCTCATCCTGAGTTATTTTGTGTATTCATCTCTTTTTGCCCAGGAGAGAGATAAGTTCTATATGTCTCGTATTGTGGTGCTGGAGCTTCTGCAGGCTCTGAAGTTCAAGTCTCCTCTACCCGATACTAACTTGCTACTGCTGGTCCAGGTAAACAGTAGCACAATCAAAACTACTTGTGGAAAAGACTTAAACCCAAAAGATGACTTTACATATTTATTTATGTTAACTACATCCTATGTGTGTATGTTGTCAGTTTGTTTGTTCAGATATTGGTACAAGGCTAGCAGAGTCTACTATTCTCTCAAAGCACATGATCTCATCACTTCCAGGGGTAAGACAGTACATAATACAGTACATTGGTTATCTGGGTTCCTTTATGATGACCTAATGAAATCATATGAAATAAAGATATGGGTTGTTTGATTGTTGCACTATTCTCTCTGTCTTTTTCAGTGCACGACAGCAGCAATGGAATGCATGAGGCAATACATCAGTGAGCTTCTAGACTTCATAGCAGATATGCACACACTGACCAAACTGAAAGTGAGTTTCCTCCTTACTCTGTCTTAAATCATCCACCCATCTTACATAAGTCTCATCTCTAACCATATTGTCATGTGGAGGGTCCTGAGTTTCTCCTGGTCAAGTGATCAGGGAAAACACAGGGTTGTAGTCATGTGACCTGTCCTGTGATCATGTGACTCTGTCCAGAACCATATGAAGGCGTGTTGTCAGCCGCTGCATGAGGACACGTTCGGAGGGAACCTGAAAGTGGGCCTGGCACAGCTGGCTGCCATGGAGATCAGCAAAGGCAATCACCGTGACAACAAGGCAGTGATCCGTTATCTTCCCTGGCTCTACCATCCCCCGTCCACCATGCAGCAGGGGTGAGAGGCACCGACAGTTACAGCACAGATGTCACTTTCAGTGATCTCACTGTCTATAACCATGAACATATTACAAGAAGTGCTTTTATTAGAATTAATGGTGAGTCTAATAACACTGTAATGTTTGTTCAAAAAGCGTTTAACCTTTGTCTCCTCCTCAGACCTAAGGAGTTCATAGAGTGTGTGTCCCACATCCGCCAGCTGTCCTGGCTGCTCCTGGGCTCCCTGACCCACTATGCCCTGCACCAGGGCTCCACCTGCTGTATGCCCATCCCCCTGGACGCTGGCTCACACATCGCTGACCACCTCATCGTCATCCTCATCGGCTTCCCTGAGCAATCCAAGGTCAGGAAAATGTCTACATTTACATTTTATATTTTCGTCATTTAGCAGACGCTCTTATCCAGAGCGACTTACAAATTGGTGCATTCACCTTATGATAGCCAGTGGGACAACCACTTTATTTTTTTTGGGGGGGTGGGGTAGGGGGAGGGTAGAATGATTACTTTTATCCTATCACAGGTATTCCTTAAAGGAGGTGGGGTTTCAAGTGTCTCCGGAAGGTGGGGAGTGACTCCTCTGTCCTGGCGTCGTGAGGGAGCTTTTTCCACCATTGGGGTGCCAGAGCAGCGAACAGTTTTGACTGGGCTGAGCGGGAACTGTGCTTCCGCAGAGGTAGGGGGGCCAGCAGGCCAGAGGTGGATGAACGCAATGCCCTCGTTTGGGTGTAGGGACTGATCAGAGCCTGAAGGTACGGAGGTGCCGTTCCCCTCACAGCTCCGTAGGCAAGCAACATGGTCTTGTAGCAGATGCAGGCTTCAACTGGAAGCCAGTGGAGTGTGCGGAGGAGCGGGGTGACGTGAGAGAACTTGGGAAGGTTGAACACCAGACGGGCTGCAGCGTTCTGGATTAGTTGTAGGGGTTTAATGGCACAGGCAGGGAGCCCAGACAACAGCGAGTTGCAGTAATCCAGACGGGAGATGACAAGTGCCTGGATTAGGACCTGTGCCGCTTCCTGTGTAAGGTAGGGTCGTACTCTGCGAATGTTGTAGAGCATGAACCTACAGGATCAGGTCACGCTTTGATGTTAGCGGAGAACGACAGGGTGTTGTCCAGGGTCACGCCAAGGTTCTTTGCACTCTGGGAGGAGGACACAACGGAGTTGTCAACCGTGATGGCGAGATCATGGAGCAGGCAGTCCTTCCCCGGGAGGAAGAGCAGCTCCGTCTTGCCGAGGTTCAGCTTGAGGTGGTGATCCGTCATCCACGCTGATATGTCTGCCAGACATGCAGAGATGCGATTCGCCACCTGGTTATCAGAAGGGGGAAAGGAGAAGATTAATTGTGTGTCGTCTGCGTAGCAATGATAGGAGAGACCATGTGAGGATATGACAGAGCCAAGTGACTTGGTGTATAGAGAGAATAGGAGAGGGCCTAGAACTGAGCCCTGGGGGACACCAGTGGTGAGAGCACGTGGTGCGGAGACAGATTCTCGCCACGCCACCTGGTAGGAGCGACCTGTGAGGTAGGACGCGCAATCCAAGAGTGAGCCGCGCCGGAGATGCCCAACTCGGAGAGGGTGGAGAGGAGGATCTGATGGTTCACAGTATCAAAGGCAGCAGATAGGTCTAGAAGGATGAGAGCAGAGGAGAGAGAGTTAGCTTTAGCAGTGCGGAGAGCCTCCGTGACACAGAGAAGAGCAGTCTCAGTTGAATGACCAGTCTTGAAACATGATTGGTTTGGATCAAGAAGGTCATTCTGAGAGAGATAACAAGAGAGTTGGCTAAAGAAGGCACGCTCAAGAGTTTTGGAGAGAAAAGAAAGAAGGGATACTGGTCTGTAGTTGTTGACATCGGAGGGATCGAGTGTAGGTTTTTTGAGAAGGGGTGCAACTCTCGCTCTCTTGAAGACGGAAGGGACATATGGTCAAGGATGAGTTGATGAGCGAGGTGAGGTAAGGGAGAAGGTCTCTGGAAATGGTCTGGAGAAGAGAGGAGGGGAGAGGGTCAAGCGGGCAGGTTGTTGGGCGGCCGGCCGTCACAAGTCGCAAGATTTCATCTGGAGAGAGAGGGGAGAAAGAAGTCAAACCATAGGGTAGGGCAGTGTGAGCAGGACCAGCGGTTTCATTTGACTTAATAAATGAGGATCGGATGTCGTCAACCTTCTTTTCAAAATGGTTGACGAAGTCATCCACAGAGAGGGAGGAGGGAGGGGGAGGAGGAGGAGGATTCAGCAGGGAGGAGAAGGTGGCAAAGCGCTTCCTAGGGTTAGAGGCAGAGGCTTGAAATTTAGAGTGGTAGAAAGTGGCTTTAGCAGCAGAAACAGAGGAAGAAAATGTAGAGAGGAGGGAGTGAAAAGATGACAGGTCGGCAGGGAGTCTAGTTTTCCTCCATTGCGCTCGGCTGCCGGAGCCCTGTTCTGTGAGCTCGCAATGAGTCGTCAAGCCACGGAGCAGGAGTGGAGGACCGAGCCGGCCGGGAGGATAGGGGACATAGAGAGTCAAAAGATGCAGAAAGGGAGGAGAGGAGGGTTGAGGAGGCAGAATCAGGAGATTGGAGGGAGAAGGATTGAGCAGAGGGAAGAGATGATAGGATGGAAGAGGAGAGAGTAGCGGGAGAGAGAGAGCGAAGGTCGCGACGGCGCATTACCGTCTGAGTAGGGGCAGAGTGAGTAGTGTTGGAGGAGAGGGAGAGAGAAAAGGATACAAAGTAGTGGTCGGAGACTTGGAGGGGAGTTGCAGTGAGATTAGTAGAAGAACAGCATCTAGTAAAGATGAGGTCAAGCGTATTGCCTGCCTTGTGAGTAGGGGGAGACGGTGAGAGGGTGAGGTCAAAAGAGGAGAGGAGTGGAAAGAAGGAGGCAGAGAAATGAGTCAAAGGTAGACGTAGGGAGGTTAAAGTCACCCAGAACTGTGAGGGGTGAGCCATCCTCAGGAAAGGAACGTATCAAGGCGTCAAGCTCATTGATGAACTCTCCAAGGGAACCTGGAGGGCGATAAATGATAAGGATGTTAAGCTTGAATGGGCTAGTGACTGTGACAGCATGGAATTCAAATGAGGAGATAGACAGATGGGTCAGGGGAGAAAGAGTGAATGTCCACTTGGGAGAGATGAGGATTCCTGTGCCACCGCCCCACTGACCAGATGCTCTCGGTGTATGTGAGAACACATGGTCAGACGAGGAGAGAGCAGTAGGAGTAGCAGTGTTTTCTGTGGTAATCCATGTTTCCGTCAGCGCCAAGAAGTCGAGGGACTGGAGGGTAGCATAGGCGGAGATGAACTCTGCCTTGTTGGCCGCAGAACGGCAGTTTCAGAGGCTGCCGGAGACCTGGAACTCCACGTGGGTCGTGCGTGCAGGGACCACCAGGTTAGAGAGACAGCAGCCACGCGGTGTGAGGCGTTTGTATGGCCTGTGCGGAGAGGAGAGAACAGGGATAGACAGACACATAGTTGACAGGCTACAGAAAAGGCTACACTAATGCAAAGGAGATCTGAATGAAATTAACTAAACATCTGGGGAAACGAGGCCTCCCTCACTAACCTTTCACTAAAACACTCAAATACAACTCTTCCAACTTCCACTTTAGAAATTATAATTACTGTAATCTACAGTAGTTCAATGTTTCCAGGAATAGACTAACTTAGTTTATTCAGCTAGCTAACTTGGTACAGTATTCTTCTGTGAAAACCGCCCAGGGCACCGTATCCTATGACGCCATAGCTAACTAGCATGCTAGCATCCAATAACACACGGTTTACCACCAATACTTGGTTACAACAAACTACCAATGGATCATTCATGTCCGTGTCTAGTTCCTTTCATAACGCAAATGCTAAATGCTATATGCATAAATAATGAAGAAAATGCTACGTAGACCTATGTAGATTTCACATATCTTCCCTCAACCAAAGTCTAGGATAAGATAAAGACCTCTCTCTTCCTTCCCTCCTCTGTCTGCAGACGTCAGTGCTGCACATGTGCTCCCTGTTCCATGCCTTCATGTTTGCCCAGCTGTGGACCATCTACTGTGAGCAGGCGGCGGCCGCCTCGGCCCTGCAAAACCAGAACCAGACAGAGTTCTCTTCCAATGCCATACTGACCGGCCTGGAGTTCTGGAGCCGCGTCACACCCAGCATCTTGCAGCTCATGGCCCACAACAAAGTGGTAAGGAAGATCCACATGCTTATCTCTCCATCAGCTTCAAGAGGGGGTGGGCTGGAAAGAGGATGTGCTTGGAGATGTGTGAAATAAGTTAAGTGTGAAATACTACTCTGACTGTTGTCGTGAATGTGACAGATGAGTTGGTTAAAGCACCAACATATCCTTGTTATGTCTGACAGGACATTGCTGTTTTTTTAAGGCCGAGATTCAATCTGGTCGTGCTTTGTCCACAATGCACGTTTTAAAGGAAATGTTCCTGCATTCACAGAGACCATATTCACGGTAAACGGTGGCTCTATTGGAAATAACCTTTAAATGGCGCATTGTTCAAATCCGCGGTCGTATTGAATCCCGGCCTAAGACGATATATTTTGTTTCATATTTGGATGGGTTAATCATAAGTCAAGTTATGATCCCTTGCAGTAATAAAAACGTGTTCTCTTCAACTTTCCAAGATGGTGGAGATGGTGTGTCTACATGTCATTAGCCTGATGGAGGCTCTACAAGAATGCAACTCAACCATCTTTGTGAAGGTAAGGGGGCCATTCAAAATGTTCCACAAACACTTGATTTTACACTTCATGTTGCTTTCTATTTCAACTAAAAATTAGCATATTCTCTCCATCAGTTAATACCTATGTGGTTGCCCATGATTCAATCCAACCTAAAGGTAAGAATTAAATTGCAATTCAAAAATGATCTGTTTATGTTCGTATATGTATATAGATGCTTGGATTTTCCAGTGAAAAAACTCTCCCCCTGTCCCATGCAGCACCTGTCTGCAGGGCTCCAGCTGCGGCTGCAGGCCATCCAGAACAGGGTGAACCACCAGTGTCTGCAGGGCCAGGCAGCCGGGGCCCTGCCCTTTGCCCTGCGCAAGTGGCTGCAGTGCACCCAGTTCAAGATGGCCCAGGTGGAGATCCAGTCATCAGAGGCCGCCTCACAGTTCTACCCCATGTGACCTGCCCACCTGCCCACCTCACACGAGCTCTTCCAAGACCCAGTCCACCTCAGGACCAGCGTGCATCTGCTTAATGCCTGCCTGCCTGACCATAAACATCAGGAAGTTGACTCCTGCATAAACTGACTCTCGCCGTCTTAAGACTCTGCTTCTGACGTAATCATCTTCAGCACCATCTAAACTTTATATATCTATACTACTCTTTTGTGCAATGAGAGGGATAGGTGAGTACAGGTTGGGCAGGTGTGCAGATACAGGGGAATAACAGTACAGTAAATAACAGTTTAGGTGCCCAACATGCTGTGTGCAGCATCAGAGGTCAAACTAGATGAAGAGAATATCTATCAGCACTGCAGATGACTGGAGTGGATGGATGGAGAATGCTGTATGCTGAAGCTCAGACTTGTTCACTTGGTGATGCTCATGTTCTATATCGTTATTTTCAGTTGCTTGGTTGCAAGCCTGACAAAAATAATAAAATCAAGCCACATTTTCTAAATATACAGTATGTCTCATTGTCTCTTTGTCATCTCTACAGAGAGCAGAGTGTGATATGATTGTACATCTGCACAGTAACTACAGTATATCTTGACTAAGGTCTGTGGGAAAACTAAATGACTGCAAGAGGATCTGTTAAAGCCAAAGACTGTATGGGGAACCACCCATACATATCCTAGCTCAGGACAAACCAATATCAATCACATATTCTATTATCAGCAAATCCAATTGGACTTTAGGGCTCCTGTCTCACCCTCTACCCAGTTCAGACAGGTTCAGACAGGTTGCCTCTCGCCATCAGAGCCCAGATCCATCAGACACAATGTGGGACACAGCAGCAGCAGCGTTGTAACTCGATCAGGGTGAAGCCAGACGGCAGAGGTAAACAAGACAAGTGAGTCCGTGTCGACCGCCCCCGTAGAGCCATCATTTGCCACAGACACGGACCAAACACAGTTACCTCTGGTCTAATGTTGTTTGTCACGATAAAGCATTGTTATGGGATCTAATCACATTACGGAAAGGGCACTTCCCACTGGGCACAGACGTCAATTCAACGACTAATCTACGTTGGTTCAACGTTTCAGATTTCATTGAAATTACGTGGAAACAACGTTGATTCAACCAGTGTGTGCCCAGTGGGTTGTCTGGGAATACCACACCACATGATAGTTGGACTATAAATTTTAATCCAAGCTTGGGGTTCTATTCAATCTGTATCGCGGAAGTTAACAGTGCCTCTTAACTGAAGACGATGTGGGCAATGTAACTACAGAAAGTCATACATTTCCAATGGAAGAGAAGCAAAGTGGGCGGGGGATGTTGATATCTAGAACTACCCAGCTTGCTTGTTAGCGTCCACATGAGGGTGAAGCTAGCGTGGCATATTTCATAACTTCTCTACGCCTGCACTTTGTAAAGGGATCCTCTATGAGAGGCGTGTGTCAAATGAGTCACTAGCTTTGCTGTCTAATAAAATCACACCATGTGGCAGAAACACACACACACACACACACTCACATCAGAAGTCCTCACAAGGATAGTAAAACAAGGAACATTTAGGACATTTGGCTGATCCCCACAAGGAAAAAGGCTATTTTAGGTTTAGGTTTAGGGGTAGAATTAGGGTTAGCGGTTAGGTTTAGGGTTAGGGTTAAGGTTAGGAGTTTGGGGTTTAGGGTTAAGGTTAGAGTTAGGGTTAGGTTAAGAGTTAGGGTTATGGATAAGGGATTAGGGAAAATTGGATTTTGAATGGGAATCAATTGTTTGGTCCCCACAAGGATAGTAGAACATTGTCTGTGTGTCTCAAAGCTGACCTTCACAGTCTAGGGCTGTTTGCTCTGAGGACCCACTCACACCCTCTCTGCCTGAGAGCCCTTAGTCAGAGTTCATTACCCACTGGATGTCCAGCTGCCTGCTCATCAGGTCAGTGCTCCCATATGGTCCTCCGGGAGGAGGCAGGCAAGGGAGAGTGCTGGGTACCTGTGGGATGTTGATTACATAAGCAGCTGCTAATGAGAGAGGTTCTTTAAAAAAAGGCTGCAAGTTCAAACGATCACGAAGGTGGCGTCGGCTGGCAGATGCAGCCCCGGTGCAGGGGGACTTCACTTGATTAAACACAAACACACACACTGACACCCAGAAAGTCACCCGCACATATGTTCAGACAAATACACACACACACACACACTCACACAGACCCACACACATATACACACACACACATACTTACTTTACTTAAGGTAGTCCATCGTATCCGATGATGACTTCCACTACTGCTTGTGGGTTCGCTGATGACTGTATAATCTGATGCGGGATGCACACTGTCTGCCACAGACAGAGCACACAAAGGCCTGTCCCGTTGAGGCCGGTGCAGGCATGGTCATATGTCTTCTCTGTCGCTTCGCCAGGCTACGTTCAGTCCTTTTTTCCTCGGCCAACTGCATCGCTTGATAGCAGAGGCCGTGCCAGGTGGAATGGTCCGAAGCAACAGTCTGGAAGAAGGCAGGGTTTACACCACATCACATATCTTCAGTGATGTCTTCAATTGGCCCTTTAGCCACTTTTTCTGCCCACCTGCAGAGTGACGGCCCAGTTGTAGCTGTCCGTACAGCATCTTTCGCAGTAGGTGATCTTCTGGCATCCGGATGGTATGGCCAAGCCATCTAAACTGGTGGTGTGTGATCTCTGAGTGCGGAACACAGTCCTGCTAGGTCACTTTCAAAATGCGTTGGAGGCATTTTATGTGAAAGTGTTGACTGTAATAATAATAATAATATGCCATTTAGCAGACGCTTTTATCCAAAGCGACTTACAGTCATGCGTGCATACATTTTTTTGTGTATGGGTGTTCCCGGGGTTCGAACCCACTACCTTGGCGTTACAAGCGCCGTGCTCTACCAGCTGAGCTACAGAGGACTGTAGACTGTCCATGTTTCACATCAATAAAGGAGAGTAGATAAACACACTGCCTGGTAGACTGCAACTTTGGTGTATAGGCGCAGGTTGCTGTTGTTAAAAACCCTCTACCTTAGCCATCCAAAGGAGGATGGGGCCTGTTTGATATCTGGATATCCTGGTCGATGTTGCAGTCTTCCGAGAGGAAGCTTCCAATATATTTAGTGTGGTACAATGGCAAGTGATGAGTCGGAGATAGAGAATGCTGGTGTTTCAGCATTACTAGAGGCCCACAAAGGCCATGAACAGGTCTTGTATCTGTTCACGGCACTTTTCCTGCAGTTGTCGTGCACTGAAGATCATGCCCACCGTGCTTCTGTTCTTTTTGAAGCCGCACTGGGACTCCGGTAGCAAGTCTTCAGTGATGGTATCGATTAGTCTGCGGAGCATGACGCTCGCCAGGACTTTGCCAGCAACTGGGAGGAGGGATATGCCCCTGCTGTTGTCGCAGATTGATTTGTCCCCCATGTTTCTGTATATGGTGACAATGTTTGCATCCCTCCATTGAAGGGGGATGCTCTCTTGTCTCCATATCTCAGAGATGAACAGCTGAACTAATCTGGTACAGAGATAGCCCCCCTGTTTTAGGATCTCAGCAGGGATGGAGTCAGGCCCAGGATTTTTGTGGTTCTTCAGTGACCTGATGGTGGTGCAGACCTCAGAAAAGGTGGGTGGGAGATCAAGGCTCTGGATGGTGAGCAGGATTGGGAGCTCCTCCAGAACTGAGTAGTCAACTGGGTTTGACTGGTTTAAGAGGGCTTCAAAGGGTTCACCCCACCTCTGGACTATCTTAGTTTGGTCCTTTATGAGAGTAGACCTATCTGCACTTCCAACCTGCACCTCTGAGGGGACAGAGAGAGCAACTTCTTGGGCCGTGGGTGGTCTTCAGGGCATCATAAAAGTTGTGCATGTCATTTCAGTACACACAAGATTGAATTTCTTCTGTTTTGGAGATCCCCCACTAATTTAGCAGATATCATAGAGCCCTCTGTGCCTCCCTTCGCTGCTCTTGCCATTGCTTTTTGAGGACCTCAGAAGTGAGGTTGTTGAGTGTGGCTTTTTGTACCTTGTGTATGCTGTCAAGTAGGGTGGAGATGTGCACCACCAGTCAAAAGTTTGGACACACCTACTCATTCAAGGGTACTATTTTTTACATTGTCAACTTTAGGAGACGGTCCTGGCGCTTGCTGGACTTTCTTGGGCGCCCTGACGCCTTCTTCACAACAATTTAACCTCTCTCCTTGAAGTTCTTTCTGATCCGATAAATGGTTGATTTAGGTGCAATCTTACTAGCAGCAATATCCTTGCCTGTGAAGCCCTTTTTGTTCAAAGCAATGATGACAGCGCGTGTTTCCTTGCAGGTAACCATGGTTAACAGAGGAAGAACAATGATTTCAAGCACCACCCTCCTTTTAAAGCTTCCAGTCTGTTATTCTAACTCCATCAGCATGACAGAGTGATCTCCAGCCTTGTCCTCGCCAACACTCTCACCTGTGTTAACGAGAGAATCACTGACATTATGGTAGCTGGTCCTTTTGTGGTAGGGCTGAAATGCAGTGGAAATGTTTTTTTGGGATTAAGTTCATTTTCATGGCAAAGAGGGACTTTGCAATTAATTGCAATTCATCTGATCACGCTTCATGACATTCTGGAGTATATGCAAATTGACATCATCCAAACTGAGGCAGGAGACTTTGTGAAAATTAGTATTTGTGTCATTCTCAAAACTTTTGACGACGACTGTACGTGGAGTTTTTGTCGAACCAGTCCGGATGTTTCTTGCTGCAGTAGCCAATAGAGTGGGCTGCTGACTCATACATAGAGTGATGTGCTTAGGGAGGACAATTTGTTGTCAATCGAACCCTCCGTACTCATGAGAATCTCAATGATCTCTAGTTTTTCTGCTAGAGAGCGACATAGGTTGTTACGTGCCTCTGTTTCCTGAAGTTGAGCACAGTGCAGCCTGTTTTTGGTGGACTTCTTGAGGTGGATGGCTGGGCGAACCTTCATTCTGAGCTTGGTTAAGGTCATCCGATGATCTTTCC